TTCCGATAATCGTCTTCATAAGCAGATCGCCCGATTTGGCTCAGTCCACCTTTCGATAATCGTCTCCATAAGCAGGTCGCCTGATTCCATAACCTCTGAACGCCGCACTTTACTTAACCATGGGAAAGTTCACTGGCCAGAGTGCAGAGAATTCGGATAGCAGAAAAAATTTTCCGAAACATCATCAAAGCTGCAACCGCTCTCTATATACCTGCTGGTCGAATACCCCAGACAAGACCAAACTTCCCAGCAGTGATGATCTCCGTCGTACCAACCCTACTGATCCTAGAATCAGTGATTTGACAGTGGAAGTCAACCGGTTGGTACAGGAGCGTAAGAGGAAAAGTGACTAGACCATCTGAAGTGTTGTAATATTGGAACCGATATGAGTAAACTGTGGGTAACGGTTAAGTCGCTCTCGAACCCTGGAAAAAGGGATGAGAGGACATTAGTCACATTTAACGACGTAACGGTGACTTATTCGAAGAGATGCGCGGAATATTTTAACCGACAATTTGTCGAGCACCCCGACAGCGACAGTGCGAAGAGTACTACGTCGTATCAGATATATTCCCGCCGAGGAGGAACCACCACAGTTTACTATTGGTGATGTTGCAAATGTCACCCGGAACGCTAAGTAATCCAAAGCGGTGAGCCCCGACAGAATCTCAATGGTAATGCTGAAGCAGCTGGATACGACGGGAGTCGAGCACCTAACGAAAGTACTCAACTTGTCGCTAGCCACCCACATAGTGCCCGAAACCAGGAAAATGAGCCGGGTAGTCCCACTACTGAAACCAGGCAAGAATGCCAGTAAAGTCGAATCGTACAGGCCGATTTCGCTTTTGTCGCCAGTAGCTAAGACTCTTGAGGCTTTACTCCTCCCCAGCATCAGAGGAAGCTATCCAGTTGCCAATCAACGGATTCCGTCCACAACATAGTACCACAACAGCATTACACGCCATTTCCACACGTATTAGAAGAGGACTGAACCAGAACAAGTCGTGTGACAGAACAGTGTTGGTAGCCCTTGACCTGTCAAAGGCATTTGATACGATCAATCATGCCGTGCAGAGAACCACCCTCCGGCCAAGTTTGAAACGTTGGATAATCAAATATATGTGTGGACGCCAGTCGTAGAATGAAACAGGGACTACATGGTGGGGTGATATCTCTGGAACTGTTTAACCTCTACCTTCCCGGAATTCCTCGCCCTACAGACGGCATAGAGATCGTAACGTATGCGGATGATTGTACGATCATGGCGTCGGGCCCAGTGGTCGATGACATGTGAAATGCTAAACCCCTATCTCGCAGAGCTTGCCGCATACTTCCACGCGAGGAATATGAAAATATCCGGATAGTTTCAGAGATGAAACACAGCTGAATGTGCAGGTCGAGGGGAATTTAATTCAGGCCACGAACTACCCTAAGATTCTAAGGGTCACGTTCGACAGCATGTTTAAGTCGTCCGCGCAAGCCACAGCTATCTGCGAAGATGAAAAGTTATAACGCGATATGTCGATCTGTGGTCAGCTATACGGCTCCAGTGTGGTCTGGGAATACTAGTGCTGCGCAGTGGAAGCACATCCAGACTTGCCAGAACGCTGCCCTGAGAACTGCGACAGGGTGCCTTCTCATGACACCAGTGGACCATCTACATGAGGAGGCGAAAGTCCTTCCCTTACGTCAGCATAATCATATGCTTTCGTTGCAGTACCTGCTTTGGTGTTACCGTGGGAGTCATCCCAACTATCATATGGCGGACAAATCTCCCCCACCCAGACGTGTTAGGATGGACATACACGATCTATAGAGGGAGGTCCAACGCTACAAGAGAGAAACTCTAGATCAAGAAGCCTATCAGACAGGTCTGAGTGGCATTCATACCGATGCAGTCGCGGATGTCATTAGCAGTTATAAAATGAGTGCCGTCCTCAGAGACCACCCCCATCCATTGCAGCTGAAGAACGTCAGCTGCCTGGACAAACAAGGACAGTTTTGGTACAATTACGTTCAGGGTGGTGTAGAAGTGCGTGACGCCTGCCTAGCAGGCCCGCACAATACGCTGCACCTCTTTAATTGCACAGCCAAACCTACCAAACTCACTCCAGAAGATCTCTGCCTACAGCCCATTAAAGTAGCGGAATTTGTAAACCTGGAGCTGGAAACAGATTATCAGGACGCAAACACTTACATGTAATACTGCTACAACAACAACATGTAGATGCATCAACGCATGGGAACATTGATATGTCAAATGTTTTTTCAAATATAAGTACATTTTTATATGTTTTCTTTTTTAAAAATATTAATAATTTTTCATTCAAATTTTTTAATTCCCAAATTTTTATTTTACAATATTCATTCATGTTTTGACCCTTTTCTATAAATGTTGACATTTTGAATATATTTTTGGGTGTGTATATTTTTTTTTTTTTTGTTTTTGCGGGAAATAAACATATCAATTTATTTGTCGATGCAAAATTTTTGAAAATAGTGCCACTTTTGTTTCCAGCTATCTGCAAATATTCCAACTCTTGTACAAAAACGTAGGTCGAATGAGGGAGATAACAAAATTTACTTTTGTTTTAATGTTCATACGCCATTCAACATTATATTTTTCATCCATATTTTTCAGTTTCCTGAAAATTTTGAAAATTTCATAAAATTTTGAATTTGTAAATGTCATATTTGTCGATAAATACTCTCATTTGTTAGGAATGGCACATATTTCATCTTAGTTGTGGAAGTGATTTGAATGGAACAAAGAACAAAAATTTACGTTCCCTCAGCATACTTTTTGTGGGGAATTAAGTAATTAGTAGGGGAATTAAGTAATTAGTAATTAATGGTCGAAAACCGAATAGAAAGCGAATCAAGTGTCATGTGAACTTTGCAATATTTATTTCTAGCTGCCTGTTGCACGCATGGTAGAATTAAGAGGGTAAAGTCATGCCATGATATGTTTACAATTTTTTTCAAAATTATTTCTTTGACGTCTTATTGTCAAAATGTAGAGATGGGAATGCTTATTTGCAATGACTTTACCTTCTTAATTTTACCATGGCAAGCAATCGCTTAGTGTTTTTTTTTTAGCTTAGTGTATTACTCCCCATTTTTGTCCATGGTATAATTAATACAGGTAGCAGCAAGTCCCAGCTGATATGACTCTGTAGTAATACTAGTGTCAAGCTCAATATGACGTTTTGTGTTTTAATTCCATTTCTTGATATACAATAGGTATACCATTTTTTAATATAAAATTTCACTGCAGAACAATGTGAACATTTTTTGGCTTATAATAATCGCAGTTGCTTTTCCCACGATTGCTAGAAGTGTTGAGAGATTAGGTCATACAGCTAACAACTATACATTCAGGGGAATGATATGATATGCATTATAAATTTAATAATCCAAATACCAAAAATGTATATTTTTAAAATTAAAATAATTTATTAAAAATTAATTATTTTGTTTACCTTTTTGGACATAAACTCTGACACTTGTATTACATACAAAAAACAAACTTGTATGTGGTTGTTGTTACGATTGTTGTACAACAACACTTGCTGTTATCTCTATTATTCTGCCATGCTTATTGTCTAAAGCTCGTTGTAGTCATTGGTGTTGTTTTTGGATGTGGTTTATACTGGTTAAATATCAACATAAATTATACGATTTGGGGCAGATACATAAACCATGGTCTTAGGAAGAAATTCTAAGAAACATCCAAAGGAAAGAAGAACTTTTATTAAAGTTCTACGAATATGAATCGTAGAACCATAAAAGAATTTCGAAGGTAAAGTCATGCAATCATATGTTTACATTTTTTTTTTTCAAAATTATTCAATTGACAACATCTCATTGTCAAAATGTATATTTATAAATCCGTTGCACATACACAAATCAGACATGGGAACCTGCTTTCCATGCAGTGAAATTTGACCAGCTAAATTACAAAAACTGGAAAGATGGGAATGCTTTTTTGAAATGACTTTACCTTCTTAATATTACCCTGCATTAATCATGATGCCTTGCTTTCTAAACGACAATTATTATTTCTTTTATTTAGACTAAAATAAAATTATTTTTTATGCCCGTGTTTATGCTACCCAATTTAAGCAATGTTTTTAATTTCTAATTATCATTTGTTCATTTTCAACATTATTTTTTTCACTCGTCTCTTATCTATTGTGACCCTATTAAAGTCGGATATTTCATATAACTTATAATTCTACACTGTAATTATATGGTATTTATCTTGTTAATAAAGTAAAAAATCGCTATGGAACGCAACTATTGTTCGTTCTGTAACTTTGTAACGGAGTCTTACAGTGTCAAATTGACTTAATTGACAATTGGTTTTGTTTATTTTACTCTTTTTTTTACAAAATTCTCATATTGGGGAAAAGTCAGAAAACATGAATGGAATGTCGAGATTATTCCACAAAACTAAACTTAATATATATGCTCTGTTCCAGTACCTGCAAGAATCTTTTACATTCTTGAAATTCTGGGACAGATCAATAGTTTTATTCGAAAATTTACAATTTGTTGCCCATTGACGTCGAAAATATGAATTTTTCTGGTATCTAAAATTGAAATAATTTATAATTATTGTGTTTTTTTATTCAAATACAAACTGTGTATATGTCTTGACAGAATAGGGCCACAAAAAAAATGTATTAGGAGGGAGCTTTTGCTCAGTTCCAGAACCTTCAAGTATCTACCATTTTTAAAATTTTATTCGATATTATCAAGGAAAAATCGGTTGTCGTAGTAAAAACTTTTACATTCTTGCAGTTCTGGAACAGAGTATTTGTTTTAATTTCTGTAGTTGTGCCATGGTATGAACTAGTTAGCTCTACTGCAACGCCGTTGATATTTGTTGCTTCAGAAAGACTTTGTTCTCATGTACTGTTAGCAAATTGTGATCTTCGATTTTTTGAGGTTGTGTTTAAAAATGCATTAGTTTGATGAAGTTCACGGCGTCAAATTTTATAGTGGTCCCTGGCATAGTTGGTAGTCATCGAGACTCAGCGCTGGTCTTTTCGTTTCCTGATACCTATTTGTGTTTGTGTTATAAATAAAAATAGAACGGCGAAGATCACACGGATACAAAGATTTAACAGGCCACGGCGATACATTAAGTCTTAATGATTAAGAACTAAACGCAAACAAAGAAAGAAGTTTTTTAATTCGGGTTGGACTGTTAAAACAATTATTGGTTCGTTCGTTCCCTTTTTCGAATGTCATCGTCGGCGGTGGACGCAATTTATCTGAGCAAACATATATAAATATTAGCTTTAAAAAGGGCGATTACCAGTGTATATTTTACAGATACAAATATTCGGAATTGAACGATGTCGCAATAGAAAGTAAACAAACTGAGATATGCAATCACGTACAAATAGTGCAAGTACCTATATTGAAAGAGTTAAATATTGTGAATTAAAATTTCTATTTTTCTTATTGTTCTAACAAAACATATGAAAGTATGTGTGATACAAACAAACGATTTTCGACTGGAAGTGGGTCTATCAACGGAAATACAATCAGTGAAAATGCCTTTGATAATATTTCGATAAAATCGGAAGCATCCATCGACCAAATAGACAGCAAAGAATTATTACAACATAATCAGCAGCTACATCAAACTACTCAGTCGCTATTAATGGCCAGTACAATGCTTGTGGGTAGCACAAATAATGTGGGAGGAATCAAAAAACAAACCGAACATGATCAATTGGATCATGGTCATTACAGCAGTGCCAATGTATTTGGTTCCACAGATTCCATGAACTCCCAATTCTTGAATTATACCACAACACCAATGAGGCCTTCTTTGGGACAGCAAAATATTATGAGCCTTACAAGTACCATGAATATAAATATACATGATCTGATTATGGAGAACCATGCCTTACGGGAGCAACTTAAAGAAGTCGCTGCAGATCGCGATCGCTTGTTATGCGAAGTATCGAATTTGCGACTCGAGTTGGATATGGTGGAATTAAAACGACTGCCGGAGGAAACGTGAGTCCATGAATATATATTTAATTGACACTCTTTGCAACCACAAGAAAAAAAAACATTTATTTCCCGTATCGATCTGAATTGACATGGTATAAAAATTCAGGTAACAGCAAGTACACATACAAATTTGTTTTTGTACGTAAGAGTTATATGTCTATCAGATACATATGTCAGAGTTATATGTTCGTAATTGTAAACGAAACAATTTTGAAAAAAATATTTAATGTTAAGAAGGTTCATTTTTGAAATTTAGATAAAACTAAAGCAACTGAAATTATAAGGAGAATGAATGCTCTGTGACTTTTTTAAACATTAAGAAAATGAGAAAGATTTTCTTGTTTTAAATTAGGTACTTTATTCACTTTTTAAAAACCTTAAACAAAAAACCAAAATTCATTGTGGCTTGGACAAAACAAAAGCAACTTTGTTGTACATTCATAAGACCGCGGCAATTTCAGTTGTTTTTACTGTTATATTTATCGCTTTTGCTTCCTTCGACAATTTCGGTGGTTATAAATCCTTTTTGAGAAGTTTTTTACAACAGCATGTGTCTTTCTATTCGTTTTTTAAGTACTCCCGAAAAAAGTTTAAAAATGGCTAGAAGCAAATACAGTACATGAATAAAACACCAAATTATCAGTGACTATAAAAAAAACATATCACAGAAAATGATTTACGAGAAATATTTCATAAATATTTCTGTGATTTCATAAATATTTCTGTATACTAAGTCAGTTTTATGAAACTGGATCAGAAGTAACAGCCTATAAAGGATGAAGGCCGTGAAAAACTTCAGCCCGTACTGATCAACAAATTGTGAGAGAAATAAAAAAAAAAAAAAACAACCATTTAAGAGGTCAACTGGATTGGTGAGAGAGCAATCATTGGATATAAGCTCGAGATCAGTGCGTATACTAGTAGTGGTAGCTGGGGTGCATGCCCGTAAGCCATCAAAAAGCCATTTATATCTGAAAAAGTCAAAAAGGCTTTCGGAAACGATAATATTAAGTGGAATCCACCTCAATGGAAAAACATTATGTCTGGGATTAGTCTACGTTTAATATTAAAGGCTCAGACGTGAAAAATTTTACGGTGAGAAGACCAAACAATTAAAGACTCAAGCCGTGTTGCAAAAGTACAGTGAAGCATGAGGGAGGGTCAAAAATGGCGTGGCGCTGTTTTTCTTTCTATGGACTTGAGCGTATCCATGAAATAAAGGAAGTTATGGATCGGTTTGTTTACAAAGATGTGTTGGACACCACGTTGTTCCCTTACGCTGAGTAAAATATTCGGCTCATTTGGGTGTTTCAGCATGACAATGATCCCAAACTTTCATCAAAACTTGTCAAATATTGGTTGCGGGAGTCAATAATCGATGTTTTGTCATGTCCGGCACAATCACCTGACCTAAACTCCATAGAAAACCTTTGGAGTATCGTAGACAGGAAGATCAAGCGAGATTCGGAAACAAATCAAGCAACGAATTCAGGGTGCCTGGGAAAGCATACTCAAGATCATATTGAGCGTGTTATAGATTCAATGCCTCATTAAAAACTGTATATATATATATATATATATATATATATATATATATATATATATATATATATATATATATATATATATATATCTATATATATAAATGAAAGTTGTGTTAGTTACTACGCTTATAACTTAAGAAACGCTGAACTGATTTTAATGATTCATACAAATTCGGAATTGTCTCTTATCCGAAAAGGATAATATCCAAAAAAATCGCGTAAAAATGTAATATGTTAACATTTTCATTTTGATTTTGAAATGTACAATAGTAATGTTTTATTTGGCATGATTTTTTCCATTTTGACTTACTTTTTTCTAATGTATATTTGTAGTGTTTTTTATATTTCATTTTTGTATTCGAATATTAATACCAATTTATTTAATTGACTTAATTTCTTGAGAACTGAAATTGATGGCGGGTTACATGGAAGTGTAGTACCGAATTATGTGGTGGCGAAACGGAATAGATGATTAATGCGGTCACACCAAAGTTAAAAGATAATTACTTTTTCAAAATCGTTAAAAAAAAATCACGAAAAAAGAGATCTCATTGCAACAATTCTCAAAACGGGAAAATATCGAAAAAAATTTCCAATGAAATTGAATTTTAAAATAAAAGTACATTCTATTGACAAACTTTGTAAGGATCTTTAAACAGTTGCTTTAAAAAATCAGCGAACAAGTTGAAGATTTTTTCAATTTGTAATATCATATTGAATTCAGTAGATTTTTTGCGAACAAAATAAAGAATATTTTTTCTCTATATACAATTTTTCACCAAAAAAAAATGAAATAAGTGCGAAATACGATGGTAACTGACATCTACCTTTCAACTCCAAGGCCTACATCGTGCTTCAGCTGGAAGATGCGCAGACATTTAAACAAACAAAAATGGCCGAAAAATACTAATGGGGCTTATTTCAAAGTGTGGCCCTACTTCTTTCATGTGACAATAATCCGTCCAATGAGAGCTCAAAATGCAAAAATTATTGGGAGTATAATCAGTAAAATACCAAATATAAAGGATGCAAAATAGTAGAGCGAATGGGACTTTTAGTAAGAAAAGGATTTCTATCCTTCCAAAAATTCTTCCTGAACATTTAAGATACCTTAAATCGCTTTTGCAGGTCATGATATCGATCATAAATAACCATCGTATGATTTAAGCCCTTTTTGGAGTCTTCGCCACTTTCTTCTATTTTTGGCCCTTATTTGGCATCTTTGTTTCTAAATTTTTTTTCCTAAAATTTTCGGAGTAGGGCACATATTGGTCTTGACCACTAAAAAATTGTATTTATGCTACCCTGGGGTAAGGAACCATCGTACAGATAATTGCCACATGCATGTAAAGTCCCCACATTGGAGTATCCCCAAGTCCACTTTCACATTCTATTGAATTGTAACCCCCCAAAGAATATTGGTTGGGAACGTAGATTTGGGATATACATCTATATGAAATAAATTGTGAAACATGAACAAATTACAAACATAAGAAAGTAGCACGGGACTGAATATTTGTTGAATCGTCATTGATTTATACTATGATGAAAAATATGGACTTTATGGTGTCTCCAATTTACAATTTTAATGACAAATAAAATTAGTTCCCATCTTACGGTAATGGGTGTCAAATAGTAATTATATTTGACTATTCTGAAATCAGTCTGCCCTCAATTATGAGTTGGATAAAACTATTTTTACTTATTTAAATAACGTGATTTTTTTCAGTTTGACATGCTATATTTTTCTGCTATATTTTTGATTTGGCCTCTATTTGTCATCTTGGATTATAAGGGGTGAAGAAAGTTTTCAATGTAGGTCGATGTTTCGCATTTTACCATATTTCAAAGGATTTGGCTAAAAATGTATATTTGGGGGTGAAAATCTTACATAAAAATTTCAACATATCTACAAATTTTAGTATTTTCTCCATGTAATAGTACCCCCTCAAGTCCACCTTTTGGCGGACAAACAGACCGACATGGTTAGGGGGACTTATGAGGACTCTAATGCACAATCTGAGGTGCTAATGGGTTTAAAAAAGTAATTAAGTTTGGATATTCTTAAATCAATTAGCCATCAATTATGAGGTGTACAAAGTACAGTAAATTCCAAATTACTGCTCATTTGAATAAAAATTAAAAACTAATAGACCAGTACGTGAACATTTATAACATTCATATCTTTGAATAATTATGCTTTGACAAATATGCATAATAGACAAAAACTACGGGCCGGCAACGCGGACCGGGCCAGCTAGTATATATATATATATATATATATCAGTCAGTATGGACTGAAGTTTTTACCGGCCTTCATCCGTTATAGACTGTTCCAGTTTCATGAAACCTAAAACTAATAATAAATAAAAATGAATATATATATATATGTATATATATATATATATATATATATATATATATATATATATATATATATATATATATATATATATATACATATATATATATATTTCATTTTTATTTATTATATATATATATATATATATATATATATATATATATATACATATACATATATATACATATACATATATATATATATTTCATTTTTATTTATTATTAGTTTTAGGTTTCATGAAACTGGAACAGTCTATAACGGATGAAGGCCGGTAAAAACTTCAGTCCATACTGACTGATATATATATATATATATATATATATATATATATATATATATATATATATATATATATATACATATATATATATATATATATATATATATATATATATATATATATATATATATATATATATATATATATATATATATATATATATATATATATATATAGCCTTTATTACCTCACACATTATTATGCGTCAGCGCTCAAGATGTTTTAAGTGTTTTATGGCGGCTGGGAAATATGTAATTTTAGAATATTTATTGGCTATTCCTAGATTTTCCCAGCGACTCAACTGCACTTAAACGTATGCACAAAGTATTTTGTACAAGTATTTTGTACGAGCGGCTTAAATGTGTATGTTAATAGTCGACTGTATTTTATAAAATTGAAAAATGGATAGTAAGAATAACCTATGTAAAGCTAAATATAGAAATAATATAATATTAATTTAGGAAACCGCTTCCAGGAAACAACTCCACTGCTTTGCCCAGTCTCTCTTGCCGATACCACCACCATTATCTGCCGGCTTCATTTTCCATGCTGCCGAATTAGTAGTCCATCGCTGCAGACCGTCATCACCCACGTAGCAAATGATTGCCATTGGCTTTATGGTAAGCTCCGATTCGTTATCTTCCACACGGCCATTGTTGGCTTGCTCTTGATTTCTGCAAGGCAATACCCTTCAGGAGGCGGAACCAAAGAGCTTTGTTCTGCTTTTCCCACTTCATCGATCCATTCTTTTCCTCTAGGAACGTTGTCGTACTCATCTTCCCCGCATCCGCCGAACATGTTGTTCATCTTTGTCCCG